ATTTTATAAAATATAAAATATCTAAATTCATTAATACAATTAACTCTCTAGTTTTATAAATAAGAAGTAAATATGTATAATAATGAATTAAAGAATTCACAAAAATTCAGTTTTCTAAAGAGTAAAAAGTCAAATGGTAAATTAATTAGAATTTCCAATATGTGTGTGACTTGAAAGATTCTAACCCTGTTTTACAATTTTATTTTCTTATAATTTAATGATTTTTATATATGCATTTATCAATAACAAATGTTGAAAATTTATAATTTAATCTTGCAGGTCTTTTCGTTTATATTTTGCCAAATCAGAAGAAATCCTTTGGCAAATCACAGAGTGACATTAAGCTGGAAGGAGATGCCACAGTTAGTGAACTCCATGCAGTGATTTCTGTGGAATCAACAAAAGAATCCGACGTAAATCTGTATTTATTAATCTGCTCCAATATATCTCTTTCAGAGAAATATCATCAATAAGAATGTTAATTTTTTTTAGGCACATAAATGTGTTATCAGCAATATATCTAAATATGGAACAGTTGTTGTAAGAGATAAAGAGAAGAAAAAACTATACGCAAATGACAAATTTATTTTGAGATCTGGCGATATAGTGCAATTTGGTCAGAAATATACTTTTGTGTAAGAGTTTTACAAAATAGTCTATGTTTTTGTAGAATCTTTTTATTTATGTTGTATATACATACGCACACATGCATGTATATATATATATATATATATATATATAGGATGTATCATAATTTGTGCCCATGAATTTTTGTCTGTGATATTTAATAAAAAAGAAATTATTAAATAAATGTCATCTTATCAGCGCCGTTCTTTACACAGATATATGTCTGTGAACCGTGCACTAAGTTGAATATAATAACACACTATTTTATGCATGTCTCGCTGACGTATGTTCGTCTAAAAAACGGCGCTGATTGGGTGACTTATTTAATAATTCTTCGTTGAAGTTTCTTTTTGTTAAGTGTTGCAAAGAAAATGGTTTAGGACTATTTGATTCATTTCTTATTCAGGAATAATGCTATATAATATAAGCATGGATTATGATACATCCTTTCTCTGTGTATGTATGTATGTATGTATGTACATGCTTGCATAGTGTGTATAATATTTATTATATATATATCTCTTTAAATATAATTTGCTATACATATAATATTTAAATAGTTGTTAATATCTATAACTATACTGAATTTTTATATATGTATATTTGTTATTAATCTAATTTTTTTAAATTTTTGTAACATTAATTTTTACAACAAGTTCTTTTTTGCAGTGCATTGTGCCATTTATTTGTGATTGTGAGATCTGGTTTAAATGAAGAGGATACTGAGAGATTAAGGAATATTACGGATTATTTGGGAGGAGTATTATCTGAAACTTGGGACACTTCTTGCACACACTTGACAGTAGCTGAAAGTGTTTTATTTACTACAAAAGTAAGATTTTTTATAATTTTACATAGATCTTTTTCATTACTGAAAATCATAATTTAATAGGTTTTTTGAGGGTATGTTTTGTTATTGATGTATTATTTATAATGCTGTTTTATAAATCCGTATACCATACATTTTCCAAGCAATAAAAGTTAAAAAAATTTGATTTTACACAATATAATTTTATACAATTAATTTTGATTAATATGTATAAAGTTTAAAAGAGCATTTACATAAAAAATATATTTTGTTAACGTTATTATAATGAGTATTAATTTTATGTTGTGTGACTTCTTAATTTGAGCAGAAAATTATACAAGAAATTTTATTTACAAAAATATAAAAAAGTTAGGTAAAAGACAAATTTATTTGTCGATTTTCACTTACACTTATCTTGTGTACAGTTAGCTTGTGCATTGGCCTCTGCCAAGCCTATTGTCACAATTATGTATTGGGAAGCAGTAAACATAGCTATTAAAGAATCCAAAGAATTACCAAAAATTGAAGATTTTCTACCAAGAGTAAAAGAGGAGTGGCTGAAAGTTTGTTCGAGATCGTTTCTACCAAACGAAAAACGTAAAACATTATTCAAAGGCTTGTCATTTGTGCACTTTTGCGCAAAGCAATACTTTACATATGCGCAATTAATTATTGCAGCAGGTAATGAATTCTATTACTTCTGAGAGTTTTGCATGCAGAATAAAACTTTGTATATAGAAATAAGAAAAAATGTAAATATGTGATAAATATATATATATATATATATGTATATATTTTATTGTTTAAATCATATTACTATATATTTTTTAGTTATTTTAATATCTTGTAATAAAATTATATTTAACTTCTTTTTTTTAATGAGTTTAATTTTTTATATTTACACTCTTTTATTAATACGCTCAATATTTTCTCATGAATTTATAAATATTTTCAAGTGGGGTTATATATTTTAGGTGGCAAGTCATGTGTGTATCCCACAAAAAGACCTTTGAGTCCTCGAGATCTCACTGCAAGAAATGCTATTGTTATACAGCAACCTGCTAATGATTCCTCGCAACTAACTCAAGTTATTGCAGTTGATTATCCAATAATTTGTAAGTGATTGAATATTATTATGAGAAAAAAATGAGAGAGAGAGAGAGAAAGAGAAAGTAAAAATAGTGAATAGATTAAAACATAAAATAACTTTCTAATATTGTAGATTCCAAGTTACAAGCTATCAAACGTAGAATGATTTCTGATACGGAAATTCCACTTGCAATTCTATATTGCACTACGACAATGTATTGTAATCCCAAATTCGATTTTGCTACATTTGTAAAATTAAAGACGCAAATATTTCCTCCATCTGACATGATAATAACCGAGGATACGCAAGACGTTGATAATGCTGCTAAGAGACAAATCGAAAGAAATATTATACCTGAAACTTGCAATTCTCAAAATAATCAAAACATCTCAAAAGAAACTTACTTTTCTAACGAGGGTGAACAGAGAGATACATATAATGCTAGTAAAAGTAATATGATGGAAGACAAGCAGAACGTCAATAATAGAGAAAACAAACGCAAAATAATTCCCGAGACTTGCGACTCCCAAAACAATGAGCATAGTTTGAAAAAAACTCGCTTTTCTGACGAAAATGAGCAAAGTAATTTTACCATTAGTAAAGATGACATTGGGATGAAAATTCAAAACAATGAAAATAATATAAAAAATATATGTTTTTTTAACAAAAACCGACAAAATAATATTTGTAATAATAACGAAAATAATATTGTGAACAATATTTTCCATAATTCAATAGTTTCTAGAAAAGTTGATAAAAAACCTCAAATTATTCCTGAGAGTTGCAATTCTTTAGAAGAAAGCGTTAATAACATTTTTTCTGGCAAAAGCAATAATAAGCAAGCTGAGATTATTTTCGACACTGGTAAATCTAATGAAAAAAATATTCTAAGCAATCTTGCTATGGAGAAAGAAGAAAATGTTGAATTACAAGAAAAGGAAGTTTTTGTAGAAAATAATTCGATTTTTGCAAAAAATTATAAAAAAAAAGATATTTTGGAAGAAAATAAATACGAGTTTCAACAGTTGGGAAATGTGTTTACAAACAAAGATAATAGTTCGACTTTTGAAAATAATAATTTGAATCGTAAAGAAAATTTAATTGTTGAAAATGATAGTTTAAATGATATTAATGATAAATTGGAAAGTGCGAGATGGAAAAGTTCTAAAAATTCGGAATATCCGCGAATTGTATCGATAGAGGAAATTAGTAACAATGAGATGTATATACAGCGAGGAAAAGAAAAAAGGATATTGGGAAAGAATTGCTTTACAGTTGAAGAATCACAGAAATCATTGAAAGAACAAAAATTAGGATCAGTCTGTAAATCTGACAGAAATCAAGAATATAAAACAGTAAAAGAAAATGAAATACAAAAAAAGGATAACAGAAAAGAAGAGCCGAAAAAAACAGTGAGTTAATTAATAATAATTGAAATCATTATTGGCTATAATATATCATTATATTTATAAAATATAATGTCTACAATGTTTACAGGGAGCTACCTGGTACGAAAGATATGTAAACCAAGAATTTACGAATGAGATACTGCGGAAAGATATACCTTGTGGCAAAAAATTCACAAAGGTTTGTAAGAATGTTATCCTACAATACTCAATGTAATATTATTAAATATATATTAATGTGTAATATTATTTAATTATATATTTATATATTTTTACTTTTTTCTTTATGTCTGCGCGCAATATATTGTTATATAATTGTTTTCTTAGTATATTGTATATATTGAAAAAAAGTAAGTAATCTGGTATAAGAAGAAGATTAATAATTTTTTTAATTAATTTATATATAGAAACCCATTACGATCCCTGAGAAGATACTGAAGGCGGACGACTTCGTCTTGTGATCCAAGTATGTAATTTTATTGTAGAAAAATAATTTAATATTATAAAGGTTAAAATAATTTTGTGTGTATATATATGTGTGTGTGTGTGTGTGAGAACGTTTCTTTAAAAATATTTTCAAGTACTATATTTTTTTTTAATTTATTTTAGTTTTACATTAGAAATATTGTTACTTTTAAAAATTTATATTTCTAATAAACGCAGATTGTTTAAATTAATAAAAATATTTAAACATATCGAAAAATAATACAAATAATTTAAAAATGCAATTTAT